GGCAAGGGGACTGCCCCCAAGGTATGGAGGTGGATTCAGCTGGGTGGAGGTTGGGGTGAGCCCAGCCAAGGAGGCTGTGGGGGACTTGAGGCCCAGCTCAGAGAGGGTGTGGGATGGTCAGGTCTGAGCAGGGATTGGCTGGGGACACCCGAGACCCAGCAGAATTCCTGTATTAGCCAAATGCCCCGGCATCCTGGCTCCTCATCCAGCTGTGCCTGCATCCATCGGCATAACACTTGCCACTCCTCTCTACCTGCTGCTGGTTTCAGGGTCTGGAAAGCTCTTGTTTTGGCCTCTTATTCGGCAGCACATACCTTTTGTTCCCAATGTCACTATATCCTCCTTGTGCACTGCATCAGGGCAGGGACCTAGCACAGGGAGCACCCACCAGGATGTCTGGGATGACTGAAGGGATGGAAGGGATGCTGCTGCTCTTCTGCACTGTCCTGCCTGTCCTTGGGGCCTAGGCAGGGCATGTGCACCCAGTCTTGGGCTGTTTCTCCAACACTAAAACATATTTACTCCCTTCCTTGGTCAACTCTGGCTCCCATCTGCCAGTATTCAGTGGCCACTTGCTGTTCCCTGCCCTGAGGCCAGTTCCAGGAAGGGTGCAGTGCCACCTGTGACACCTTCCCACTCATCCAGGCTGGGGTTGTTTGCTGAACATTGGAGGTTACCCCACCAAGGTCACTCCACTGGGAGCTTCCCCAGGGACATCTCTGCATAGTGTGGGTGCGTTTGTGTGCAAACCTGCATGTGAACCAGGCAGTGGTGAGGAGCATGGAGCAGAATGGGCAAGCCAGGTTTGGCCTGGTTTTGTTCTGGCCATGTCCTGCATGTCTGAGCAGTGTTCTGGCCATGTCCTGCATGTCTGAGCAGTGCCACCACAGTGTGGCCACGTGTTGGTGTGCCTGCCGCTGTGCCGTGTGTGCCCAGAGCCTGACCTGATGTGGTGTGTCCTGAACAGTGGCTCAGCACCGTCCCTGGGTGTTTCCTAGGGCCAGTTGTGTCACGGTGGGAGTGAGTGGGATGCTGCAAGGCTTTGCTGCAGTCAGGAGCTCATGGGGTACAGAAGGAGCTAGAGGGGCTGGCTGCTGAGTCAGCACCTTCTGCTGCGGTGGCTGCAGGAGCAGTGATGATGGTCTGTGTGTGCTGCAGTGCTGTGCTGTGGAGGTGTAGCTCTGGAGCCAGTCCCCAGGGCTCTGCATGTTCCTTGGGGCTTACAGAGCACTGGGGGAATGTTTGTGTGACCCTGGGACTGCTGTGATTTCAGGATGTCCTTTTGCATCTCGTTTGTTGGAGGCAGAAAGGGAGGCAGCATTGCATCCCACCGCAGCAGTGGCAGCATCTGCACCCTCATGAGCTGGGTACTGCCCTGACTCTGCTTGTGGGCATGAAATGGAGCTGAGGCAGCAGCTTTTGGAATTGGGAGTGCAGGGCATGCTGCTAGCCCACAGCACACCCCAGGCACCGTCCCAGGTCACTGTGGGGGTGCTGCTGGCAGCCAAGCACTGCAGAGCCTGTGGTCCCCTCCAGCAGGGCTGGGGGCTGCCAGCAGCATCCTCCTGGGAGGGATGCTCTGGAGCTGACACCCGCTGCGCTCTGGCTGGCCTGGCTCCGGCTTCCTCGCAGCTCCTCGGGCTCGGCACAGCCTGTAGGCGGGAGCAGATGTTTGGCTCAGCTCCCCAGGAGCAGCAGGGGAGCGGCCTCCTCCTGCTCCGAGCAGGACTGGCGCTGGAGCCTGCTCCTTTCCCTCAAACGCCCCTTGCTCCGCTTTGGCTAGTCCAGGATGACCCCATGTCCTGTCCCAGTGAGCCCATGAAGTCATTCCTCATCAGGGACATTCCGTGGGGCATGGCTGTGGCCCTGCACATGGCCTGGCGTGTGGCCTGGCGTGTGTGTGGGACCCTGGCTGGCCAGGGAGCAATGTTGTATAAATATTTGCTGGGCTGTGCTGTGTGCTGGGCTTGGCGAGTTCCTCCCGCCAGCTGGGTACAGGGGACACTCCCAGAAAGGGGCTCCAGGACCCCCCTGGGCATCAGCACCTTCCTGTGCACTGCTTTCTAGCAATTCCATCCTTTGGGGTTTGGGCTGAGGCACCCAGTGCTGATCCCTGGCCCCTGGGGATGTGACAGCGGCTGCATGAGGCATGTTTTGGTATCC